AATCTTGATGAAACATGTTTTCAATCACTTTTGTTAACAAACAACTTATAACAGCTGCAAAAGGTGAATGGCTTCATTACATCCACGGTGTCTGAGATATAGATATGTACGTAGAAACAACTTTCTTGAGAGCTATGTACTGGAATTGAACCAGTATACCAGCTAGTGGCTGGTAGCCATTCATAGCTTTTTTGGTTAATTGAGTGAGAATGAGCGACTGTTAAATCAATAAATCTATCTCTGAGGAATCAGAAATCTAAATATTCAGGAAAAAGGACAATTTGTAGAAGATCATAGATTGTTACAAAATAGGCCGTTTGCACTGAACAACTACATATGCGTGTATCTTGCTAGATGTATATACTTGCAAGTGTACGTGCATACATTTTATTTACAAAAAGAGGAACATGCAAATAATTTTCTATTTATAAAAAGTGCACACAAAAATAATGATAGCACAGCTTTCAGCAACAAAATACTACGAATTATATGCATCTTCTTCTTCAACATCTTCATGAACGTCATCTTCACGAACGTCATCTTCATCGCTACAATCTGATTCATTGTCACTACCGTATACGTTGACTATGGACTGTTCTAAGTCGTGAAAGTATTGAAAATCTTTTTTCAATTGCACTCTAGCCAATGCAATTCCGCTGTTTGTGATGGCGAGACGACCATGCAGAGTCTTCATTGTGTCTTTTCGCACACAATAGCGATGTTTATATTCATCTAGAAGAAAGCTCTATAAAACAAACATAATCATGTCAATAAGTATGTTCGTATTTTAAAAGATTGGTGTCATTTTCTCTACTTATCTGACCTCTGTTTCAAGGAAAGAATAGTCATTAGATTCATCAACATTATTTGTAAATACTAAAAAAATAATTGCAAAATATGTTAAACGCATGTACATTACATTCCACTGTATATAAATACGTAATCTTTAAGCTTGTTTTAACTTAATACGAACATCTATCTGTATACCTATCCTATCTTTAGTCTTCTCTTTTCCTTCACAAAGGAGAGGCAAAACATTTTCCAAATAATAAATCATATAATTTCTCATCTCCATGTTCAGAAGTACTTTTTCCTCTTCCAATCTTTTAACTACCATGTACTTATCGACAATTTGTGTCTTGAAACGCACAGGTATATCTAAATCTTGTAAAGTAAAATAGTTGAAACTAAAAGAGAGCATGAACGTCACAATATACATAGAACTGTAATTGCTATTGTTTTACACACCATGTGAAGTCGTACTATCTATGTCACACTGGTTAAACGACTAAACAAAATCTCCAGACATGATTTCTTCCGCACTTGTTGTAGGAAGAGCACACAGACTTGAGAGGCAATTTAACTCTTCTACGGTGGATGTTATTTTGGACTTCTCTTCAGGGCATTTCCTTCTCATGGAAGATCTTCGTTTGCTAGAATCTACAGAACGTGCATGTCGCAATTTTACAGTAATTTGGAAAAATGTTTTGAAATATAAGTCGACATATTTCTACCAGGATGGCGTAGATAGTATTTATCCGTTAACTTTTAGATAAAGCACGATTTATCTCGAATAAAACTGTTCCATATTTTGCATTTTGTGTCGCCTACATCTAAAATCTAACTCACTTTGATTTTGCTACGAACTTTAAAATAATGCTTACAGTTACTCATAAAACCTCCAACAAAACTCACCAGCAATAGTTATTTCTTTTGTGCGTCTAGTGACTGAAAAATACAACATTTCTAATCTCTTCTGCAGCTTTGCTACTGTGATTTTTGCCAGCTGCGACTTTCCTTGCTCAAGAAGCTGCTCCTCTGTCACATGTCCATCTAAAAGCTGTCTTTTCAATTCCAGCAATCTTGTTGCATTTTGTTCAAGTTGTTTCACTTTGTTTTGAGCATCATGAACGAAACACCTATCACCCAAAAATGTCCGCGTTTGATCATCGTTGGCTTTTACAAAATTCTCCAAATGTTGAGCATTATCAACAGTTTGATGCAAAAGGAAGAAATCTTCGGCGGCACTTTTCAACGAAGAAACTCCAATTTGTTGTTCTAGACAAACAATAAAAAATATTAATTTATCTACGTAATTACTAAGCACTCCCTGAGCCAGGCCAAGAATTATTTAATATAGTTTCGTTTTAAATGATGTTTGAACAAAAATCAACCATTAGTACAGAACTGTAAAATACTAAACCATGTTTCTAAAAAATATTTGAAAGTAAACAATGTTACCTCTCGCAAATTGTTGAACTTCTTCTTTCCACTGCATTATCGAGTCGCCCAAGTCAGAATCCTGGACATTAAGTTCGCTTCTTAACTTTACATAATCGTCTCTGGCAGATGAAAGTTGCCTTTCGGTCTTCGAAATTGCCTTGCCTTGCCTTGCGTCATCCAATGCCAGATGGCTCAGGTAAAACATGAACGTATTCCAAGTGTCAGCGATGGCGATCTGCTATTGCAGTCGACAGGTCTTGTCCAGACAAGCCTGTTTCTTCCTCAATGATGTTCTTGAGGGTGACAAACGGGCGCCCAATTCTTCTTTTTGCTGAGGGTGTCCATAGCAGAAGCCTACCAGCGGGCTCTTCATGACGACTAACATTGCCCGCAAGAGTCAAACGCGGCTGACGAACCGTTTCAGACACACGAGGAAGCGTACCGTACAGAGATTTGTTGCATGGTAGGATGGCTTCCAAGAGATGTCATAGGCGTGTCTAAGCATTCTTGTGTATGTGCCGTCGAGACGCTTTTTACGTTTCACATTTAGCGTCCATGAATCTGACCCGTAGAGAAGTATGATTTCAATGCAAGCCTTGAACACTTTAGTCTTTGTTGACTTCTTGATTGGAGACTTCCAAACTGCCGGAAGAGAATGCAGCGCACTCCATGCCAACGCTATTCTGACAGACATATCATGCTCAGTATCTGAATAACCGCCAAGGTACTTGGAGTCTTCAACATAGTCAATTTTTGAGCCGTCCGATGCAAACAGGGACACATTATGAAAAACAGTGAAAGGACAATTATAAAAACAATGAAAGGACACATTATGAAAAACAGTGAAAGGACACATTATGAAAAACAGTGAAAAAGAAATATATTAGCGCAGTAAACATATTGGGTTCAAACAACACCTATACACAACTATGAACTGTAAATTCATTTCATATTATACACGTACGTAGCACACATTAGAATCATGGACTCACACTAGTATAATTTTGACAATTAACTGAAGACATATACAACGTGTAACCTTTTCATTCGAATAACAAGGATTTTGCCAAGTTTAAAATTTTCGCTTGTTCCAACTCAGAAGGTGTTCAGTAATGCATTCTTCGTCCTTATACGTACAACCATTAATGTGCACATTAGTTCGTGGACTTAATCGATCAAAAACCTGAGTGGATACGCAGATAAGAAAATAATACTCACCGGAAGTCGTCATATATTTTAGTAGTCGAGCCAAGTCTTGACAAATACGAATTTATTTGCTCAACTTCTTCGCCAGAAGTTGCTGCCGCACCACAATGCAATCTTCCGCTCCAAATAACCTAAAAAGTGTGAAAAAAATCATCCATTCAAGACAACCCATTTCAGATTTACGTAACAACGGTTTAGTTACGTGAAATACAGTATTATTACAGTTTGACAAAGCACGCTTCGTCTCATAACATCTTTAATAGAGCATTATCGTCGGCGTATGCGGTATTTAGTTTACGAGTTGTTGGGTAAACAATCATAACCTACGTATGTAACGTACCTGACATGACCAACTGTGTGATTTCCCATGCATTATAGACAGTGCTGGTGCAATATTTCTTAGCGCATTTTGATTTTTTTCTATGTAACACGTAGAACCCTGCGTAGAACATGTAGAAACGTCGAAAAATGCTTTAACCTAATAATAGATTACTACCTTTCAATCCTACTTCATAACACATTACCTGAATTGACTTTGAACCAAGACTTTTAAATGAGAGTCCACAAAACTATTGTTTGCAATCAATACATCACGATAATAACACTGGACTGGACCCTGTGGTAAAAGTAAGTTATCAATTTAGAACACAAGCCCTCATAAACTCAACAATGCAGGTAAAGAATCAAACATGAGCAGTAGGTCTTTTCTTGGATTTGTTGAAATTGGTTCAAATTATTAAAACATAAAAATATCTGAATCGTTTACAAAGGGTAATTCCATTTTGCAAGTTTGAGAATGCCATCCAATATCACAAACCTTGGTACTTTGCTGAATCTGTACACTTTTGATTTCCATCAACATGACATGAATGTTGATCAATACTACAAGGAGGACAATTTTTCCATGTCTGCTCATGAAGAAGGTCAATTTCATGTTGGCAATAGCTCCATTCAGCAAACAATTTTCTGAATGTGACTGGATTGATAACATTTCCACATCAAAACATAGCACAATTATATACTATTTGTTGATTATGCAAAACCCAACTGTACTATAATATATTCTCATACTTTAACATACACATTATATGAAGCCTACAAAATTGACATGTGCTTGTTACAAATTTTAAACAAATTTTCCTTGAATTTCCAGAATTTACAAAATTCACAGAAAGAAATGATCATAAAGGATTATTTTGAAACCAAGATTTACGTCTTGTAGCTTTTGGTTTGTGAGGAAAAAATATATACAAAATAAAAGCACACTAACAAAGACATGTAGATAGCATAAAATTAATCACCCTTCCTCTAGAGCTGGAAATATCTTCCAAACTTCTTACAAAAGCAGATTGTGATGACCTAGGCATCCTCTTTCTAAATGCATCCCACAAATTAAAGACATCTTGACTTAATATGTAATGAACATTTTCAGGGCTACCAGGCCACCAGCCACTCTCAATTATACTGTCAACAGAAATTGGTGACCACTTCCATTGAAAAGATGAGCGATGTACAGTGAACCGATTAAGACCAAATCGTCCTGATAAAAAAAATATAATCAAAGATAACCAGTACAGCGCTGAAAATATGCGCTTCGAAGAAATCAAATCCTGGGGTTTCATAAGAAGCCAGCAACTTCATTGATGATTTGAAGTTTTCAGTTTCAATTTAAAGTTTATGAATTAGTGTACAATCCAACCTGCTGCCTATGTATTTTTCTCAATAATCAGCCCCTAACAAATCAGATTTTAATAAGATGCATCATATGTACATCCATATAACAAAAATGTTATTTGGACTCAGTAAATAAATTGCATAAGGACATTTTCACCTTCACAAGTGATCATAATCATAAGAGAACTGTTGGTAATTTTCACAATGGATTCATTACACAACTAACATGATGATGGGTAAAGGATGGGACATGATCGATCTACAAAGATAACAGCATCATCACAAAAAAACATTTCTCTCACATAGGGCACAACAAAAAAAACAACAAATATTTATATAAAATTCAATAGTATGTACATTATACTTACCAATGCTGCAAATCTTTCCATCAGATGAAATGGATTGTGTAGGCTTGATATATTGAAAATAACCATCCAACCACACTTCGATCATGGAGAGGATTGTTCTCATGGACATCATCATCGCATTCTCTACAAATATATCTCAACACACCACATTGTCTGCATCTCAGTACAGCTTCATTTTCATTGCATCTCCAACACTTCATAGCAGATAAAGGAGGAGCAAATGATTACACAGTGACATTAAATAATTTTTCCCTCATACTTTCCCATTTTCTTCTCGATTTTCCATTTTTTGCCAAGCAGATGGCCCAGTATCCACTTCTCCAATAACCAACTGAGCTTTCAAGAATAGCTTCAAGATCTAAAATGAAAATGAAATGATTTTATGACATAAAGCTGTTTCCTTTTCTATTTTTTTCTAAAATATGATACAAGAGTACATTGAAGTCTTAAAAGCACAGTCACATGTGTATAAAAATAAAAACTATGTATAGATGCAGTGGCCTGGACAGCACAAAATTTTGCTTCTGTTATGTAAAGTTGAGATGTAAGAAGTATTATCAACCTCTTTCAGTAACACTGTCATCACATAACATTCCTGTGGAACATCATGTAAATCTGACGATGTTGTAGGCATTTCCTCATCTATGATAATAATAACAACAAGTAACATAAAAACGTAGCATACAAGTTAAACAAAAATCTAAAATGCTGCTATTTCTTTGATAAAAGTATTATTTCCGAGCACACACCTCTTTGTGTATTTCTATTTCTCGAAGTGCTTTGCTTGGCTTATGAATAATCCGTTCGCCAACTTCACTTCTTTGAAGAACTATATCTCTTCTGGCATTTTTCTTCTTAATAGTTTTATTTCTACCACGAACATCTAGCATTAGGCAAAGAACTGGCAAAGGAGCCACTCATGTCACAAGGTTTGTTTGAATGGACGTTAAATTACTTATAGAGTCAATTTGAGGGTATTTTCACAATTAGTGTATAGAGTTAATTTAAGGAAGAGACTGGGTTGTGTATGTCGTCGTATGTAATTTGTATGTACTCGTATGTCACTACAGTAATTGTATGTACTCGTGTAGTGTTTTAGTCACGATCATCTCCCACTAATTTATCACGACATTGAGTTTGTTTGAGATCATACAAACATTTTTTTATAACGTATACAAGACCATTGCACATGTTAATTGAAGTTAAGTAATCTGGAGCAAAATGTAAGTGAATTCAGTTGAGCTGCAATGTAGATTATAATTATCTGTTTCTATTCAATGTTAGCTACATTGCCACAACATATACATTATAGGTATATGAATGAGACATGTAGGCGTTCAGAAAATTTAACATGCATTTTCTGCACGATTAGTATGTATATCAAAAATGTTAATCCTTAACATAATATTTCTGGAATTTATAAAGAATATTCTTAAGATGCATTTTAAGATGCAAACTTTTTGTGTTTTGCATGCTTCCGCACACGAGAATTTCACATATAACTTATATGAACTATATATCAAGAAAATGGCATTAGCTACAAATAGACAATCAGGTCGAAAGCTAATCGCATATTGACCATTCCTAAATTTACTATTAAAGTCTAGAGGCAGTTTGATGTTTTTATTGCTATATAACAGTAACTATAAACAAATACATCGAAATCTACATAAATCTTTGTGAAGGTTTATTATAATGAAAAATTCTAGTGTGCAGCATGCATATAATAATCTTATATAATAAACATGTTTTCTTTACTTTGGTAATGTTAAACTATTTACGAGATGATGAAGATGCTGGATTTGTGGCCATAACTTTTGCTCACGAAAATGAATTGCGTTAAAGGGACTCTACACAAGAAGTCTTTTCTCCAACTGATTTGCATATATTACCAAGGAAACTATCTATCACATAGCTTGAAAATTATGTCTGCTGTATTCGCTACGGGCCGTATGACTAAAACAATTTCTCTTATATTTCTCGCACGCAATAAATATATTTCTACTTTTATACCTTGAGTGGTAATTTCACAAAGTTTGGTGAATTAATTCAATTTGTCATAACTTGTCACTTGCTACATTTTGCTGGCTAAATAAGAGCTTTGAAATGTTTTTATTAATCTGAATTTTTCGATTTTAATGGAGGTTTTATAATGTTTTAGAAAGCAGTTTTGAATTGGATAAAAATGGAATATAACTATGGACTTTTACGATCTCGAAGGGACGAAGGTGCTGTTTCGTTTGTCGTTTGAGGGACTGCTTGAGACCATTTGACGAGTTCATGTGTGTTCTTTATTAGTATAGAATAATGTTTGATCTGTTTTTAATAACCATCGTATTGTTATATTCTTTTTGCCATATTCAGTTTTTTATTGATCTCCGCAAGCGTCGGCCAATAAATAGCAAAAGTAAATCGGTTTTGTGCTTTTTTTGCCTGAAAAGTGCATCTGCATTCATGAAATTCATAGACTCATTGTAACAACACATTCAGACTATAAACAACTGTTTGAAAA